ATTCCTACTGCAGTAAAAAAATATACATATTTAGCTCAGTGGCCATTACCTGGTGTGTGATAGTTTAATAGTTTAGTTTGAGTTACGCGTGGACAGCGGTGGGTGAGCGAGCTTGCGATGGTGCCCGTGGCACGTGGCTGAGTGGGCGAGCTCATGGTGGTTGTTGTTGTTGTTTCTCGGGTGCCCATCGATGTCTCCACATGCTGCGTAGAGCAAATAAAAAAACAAGTTCCGAACCTACGTGCCGTCCATCCCTCGTTCTGCCTCCGAATGAAATACCAGGCATGCCCCGCCTCTATTGGTCTATTGTGGGTCATACACAGCGGAGACAGCGTATGACACGATATATATAGAGATACTACATATATAGACAGAGTAGTATGAATCAAGCTATTCAAGTGGCGTTACTGCTGTGTGTACTTTGAGTGTCTCGCAAGTGGTGATATATGCATTTCATCAGAGCTACAGTATGTATATTTAGGGAAGTCTTTCTGATTTAAGTCTCTAATGATGACATTAAATCGGAATTCGGAATACATGGTGGAGGTGGTGGCTGTGATGGTGGTATTGGTTGAGGTGGAAGTGGTGGAGGTGGTGATGGAGTAGGTGGTGACGGTGGCGGTCGTGGTGAAAATGATGGTGGAGGTGCTGGTGGTGGAGGACGTGGTGATGGTGGGGGTGGTGATGGTGGAGGTTGTTGTGGTGACGGTGGCAGTGATGATGATGGTGGAGGTGGTAATGGTGGCGGTGATGATGTTGATGATGGAGGTGGTAATGGTGGCGGTGATGGCGGTGATGGTGGAGGTGGTGATGGTGGAGGTTGCGATGGTGGAGGCGGTGATGGTGGAGGTTGCGATGGCGACGGTTGCGGTGATGATGATGGTGGATGCGGTGGCGGCGATGGTGGAGGCGGTGATGGTGGAGGTGGTGATGGTGGTGGTGGTGATGGTGGAGGTGGTGATGGTGGAGGCGGTGGTGGTGGAGGCGGTGATGGTGGAGGTGGTGATGGTGGAGGTGGTGATGGTGGAGGTGGTGATGGTGGAGGCGGTGGTGGTGGAGGCGGTGGTGGTGGAGGTGGTGGTGGCTGTGATGCTGCTGCTGCTGACGGCAGCGTCAGTGAGATGCGTGCGAGCCGTCGAGGATTGCTCGCCGGGTAACCGAGACGATCTGCAGACTCGGAGCTCACACTTCGTAATTGAGCGGCAAGGCTGCTGCCAAGGATGTGGCGGCACCCCTTCCCGTACGGGAAGGGAGGAGGCGTGGGTCCCCCTTCACGGGAGGGAGGAGGAGGAGGAGGAAGGGGGAGGACGGGGAGGGAGGAGGAGGAAGGGGGGTACGTGACCGGCCACTGCGCATCCGCTCACCCACCCGCCGACGGCTCTAGGACGTGGCTTTCTTTGGCACGGTCCGTGCGAGGTTGCCAAGAAATGCCCGGCACGCACTCTAAGAATAAACGATTAAACCAAAACTATTTTAAATTTGACCAGGGAGAAGGTCCCCAACTGAGATGCGATGTAGCTTTTTTTTTTCAGACGTGACCTGGCCGTCGCTAACGATTGCTCAACGAAGTGAGCTTATCACCATCATCATCATCATCGCGTGGAAATGTATAGCAGCCGAATTCTCGGAAGGTTTGACGTTGATTCTCAACGTGAAGGGAAAAACCGGAGTACCCGGAGAAAAATCCACGGAGAGAGAGAGAGAGACATGCGAACTCCAAATATACAACAGGGGTCAGGGTTGGGATTGAACCCACGACCTCCTGTATACCTGGCGAGGTAGTTAACATCTCTCCACCGTCGTCCCCCCTCTCGCCCCCCTGGTGGCGAGAGGTTCATAGACGGAACCGTGAATTCTTCACTCGCGCTGCCACATTGAGCGGGCATCGCTCCCGGTGTGCGCTGGTGAAATAAGCGTGCGTGCGTGCGTGCGTGCGGGTTGTGTGTTCGCGTGTGGAGCGGTGGTGCAGCGGTTAGCTCGCTGCGCTACCGATGCCGGCGACCCCAGCCAGGTTCGATTCCCGCCTCACGGCCACCACCGAAATGCCGCTGGGGATCATGAGGACCGAACCTGGGCCTCCCCTAAGTCGACTCGGTCTCAAATAAAGTACCTGGTGCGGTGTGTAAACATCGCAACGATGGAGACAAATGCGGCGGCCGGGCGTGGTGTTGGCCACCCACCCCCTATAGCCACGGTGGCTAGGAGATGTTAACTACGGACGGACACGAGAATAAGAAACAACGCTCGTTTAGATGATTTTGCTGCTGTAAATTTCCACGCCATAAGCCGCTTGGCTGAGCTATCATTTGTGGCCAGGTCGCTTCTGAAAAATAAGTAAAATAGCTCCGTGGGCTTTAGCTGGTAAGATCTTTCTTTTTTTCAAAGGTTAGGTTTATTTGTAAATATAATTTTTTTTAAAGCAATTTGCTTATATTTCCTATACTTTGCACTCCTATAGGCGTCTTTTATAATGTTTGTTGTTGTGGCGTTCTAACCGCGTGCCCCCCCCCCCCTTACAGCCCATCTGTGATAAACAAAAAAAAGAGCTTCACAGCTCATCAGATTCCTCCTCCGGTATAAATAAACAGCCGGAGGTTCTGAAAGTGAAAATCCCACCACCTCTCAAATGAGATGCCTCTGCGGCACGTGTCAATATCAGCCCTCGACGGGGGATGGGGTGTTTAAATAGCGTGGCGTGGTAACACAAGCATGCCCCCCCCCCTTCCTCCTCCTCCTCCTCCATGTGTGAGCCCCCCCGCCCCCGGGTTTATATTTCGCTGGCGGAATGACTCCACTTAGCCCGGCACGCGAAAGAGAGGAATTCTAAATAGTCTGCATGGCTACTTAAATATAACCGCGCGGACAATTTTAACGATTTACACCCTAGCCACCGCCCCCACCCCCCCCTACCCCACCACCACCCCTACCCCACCACCACCACCCCTACCCCACCACCACCCCACCACCACCACCCCTACCCCACCACCACCCCTACCCCACCACCACCATCCCTACCCCACCACCACCCCTACCCCACCACCACCCCACCACTACCACCTCTACCCCACCACCACCCATACCCCACCATCCCCCCCCCATCCCCCTCCGAGATGTAATCCATGTTAAGGAGGCCCGGTACAAGCAATGAATGTTGACGGTCGTGGTGGTGGTGGTAGTTCGGTGAGGAGTGGTGGTGCAGCGGTTAGCGCCGCTGCCCTAGGAACCCGGTGACCCGAGTTCGATTCCCGCTCACGCCGAATTATCTGAACCAGTCCGAGGCCTCCCCGTAGGTAGACTCGGCCTCAAATGAGTACCTTGTGCAGTGTAAAAACATCGTCACTGGGGAGGCAAAGGCGGCCGGGCGTGGTGCTGGCCACCCACCCCTTTCGCGTGTCGTGTCGGCCTTCATTAGTGTTGCTACTGGCCAACAGCACTTGCCCCAGCAGCCTGTTAAGGCTATATGGGCGATATTTGTCTTTGCAAGAATGCTCTCCAACAATAAACAAACAGCGCCCGTGGTGCTGCCGAAGCCGCCATAAATCGGCCACGTTTTTTGTTCTTCACGTGACGACAAACTTTATCAGTCATGGACACCACGGTGGCTAGGAGATGTTAACTTCCTCGCCTGGTATACAGGAGGTCGTGGGTTCAATCCCGACCCTGACGCCTGCTGCTGTATATTTGGAGTTTGCGTGTCTCTCTCTCTCTCTCTCATCATCATCACGGTGGCTAGGATATGTTAACTGCCTCGCCAGGCATACGGGAGGTTGTGGGTTCAATCCCGACCTTGACGCCTGCTGTATATTTGGAGTTTGCGTGTCTCTCTCTCATCATCATCACGGTGGCTAGGAGATGTTAACTGCCTCGCCAGGCATACGGGAGGTTGTGGGTTCAATCCCGACCTTGACGCCTGCTGTATATTTGGAGTTTGCGTGTCTCTCTCTCTCATCATCATCACGGTGGCTAGGAGATGTTAACTACCTCGCCAGGTATACAGGAGGTCGTGGGTTCAATCCCGACCCTGATGCCTGCTGCTGTATATTTGGAGTTTGCGTGTCTCTCTCTCTCATCATCATCACGGTGGCTAGGAGATGTTTACTACCTCGCCTGGTATACAGGAGGTCGTGGGTTCAATCCCGACCCTGACGCCTGCTGTATATTTGGAGTTTGCGTGTCTCTCTCTCATCATCATCACGTTTGGCTAGGAGATTTTAACTGCCTCGCCAGGCATACGGGAGGTTGTGGGTTCAATCCCGACCTTGACGCCTGCTGTATATTTGGAGTTTGCGTGTCTCTCTCTCTCATCATCATCATCACGGTGGCTAGGATATGTTAACTGCCTTGCCAGGCCTACAGGAGGTCGTGGGTTCAATCCCGACCCTGACGCCTGCTGTATATTTGAAGTTTGCGTGTCTCTCTCTCTCTCATCATCATCACGGTGGCTAGGAGATGTTAACTACCTCGCAAGGTATACAGGAGGTCGTGGGTTCAATCCCGACCCTGACGCCTGCTGCTGTATATTTGGAGTTTGCCTGTCTCTCTCGGTCTCTCTCCTCGTGGTCGCGTGGATTTTTCTCCGGTTCCTCCGGGTTTTCCCCATCCACATTCAGAATCAACATCACGCGTTCAGAGTATTTGGCTGCTAGAAATCTGCATGTAATGACGATAGGCCACTTCGTTGAGCTCTCCTTTGTTTAAAGTGGCCTTCTTCCCTCTCTAGTTTGGGGCGGTTGCCCCCTGCTTCTGTTTTTTTTGTTTCCTGCTTTTGATGCATTGCGCATTGGGATCCTGGGATGGGATGCCTAATTATATATTTCAATTATGATGTATTCTTATCGTCGTTTGTGGTGGCCGGGTCGATTCTGAAAAGGAAGATGCGTCGCAGCTCAAGAGGGCCTTGCGTGGTTAAAACAAAAATTAAAAAAAAAAACATATTCCGATTTTCAGTCTCGAGTTTAATTGGATGTCGTCGGTTCGTCCCGGGTCCGGTGTGTGTGCAGGGACCACGTGTACCACGTGGACCTGGACAACGCGCACGGCGAAGAGATCCCCAGCGAGAAGGTGAGGTGGGGGTGGAGGGGTGGCGGTGCCAGACGCTGCGGTGACGTTGGCTCTTCGAGGCACGGCGGCCGCCCTGGTTAATACTACGGCAGGCGGCTTTAAAATAAAAAAATTAAGATCATTTTTTTGTATACAGCTCGGTGGGCCTTACCTGGTGGAATAAAAACAGTTTATAGTTTTACATCAGTGGTTTCTTAACCCAGGGGTTGCTTGGAGATGGGCAGATTTTTTTTTACAAGGTAAATCTTTGAAACACAAATTAAGCACGGGGCACGCAAGTACAACTTTCCTTGTTTAATTAAACCTTGTGTTTTTTTTTTTAATACGCTTGAGAACCAAAGGTGAAGAACCACACTGGTTTAATGAGTTTAGTTTACAGCTTGAGTGTTAAACTAATGGAGATCATGAGAGGCATGTTGACATCGATACTTACCTTTGATGCTGACGATTTGTTCGCCAGACGCTCACCTGGAAGTCGAAAGCAACGGACAAGGACATCTGCACCATGAAAGGCAAACAGAAGGTGACGCGAGACATTACCTGTGGTCTTCACGTCAGTCAAACCTACACCGCACCACACACAACACCAAAGACAAATATTTCCCCTACAGCCTTAACAGACTTCGGGGCAAGTGCTGTTAGCGAGCACCTATGAAGGCCGGCACAGCACACGAGGGGGTGGGTGGCCAGCACCAGGCCCGACCGCCTTTGTCCCCCCAGTGGCGATATTTACACACCACGCCAGGTACTATTTTTTTTAGGCTGAGTCGACCTAGGGGAGACCCAGGACAGGTTCAGATAGTCGTCACTGGCGTTGGCCGTGAGCGGGAATCGAACCCAGGTGGCCGGGTTCGTAGCGCAGCGTAGCGCTAACCGCTACACCACCGCTCCGCACACAACACCACACACCATATCACACGCACCGCTACACCACCAACAACAACAACAACCACTATTCACCATCAATTGGTGGTGACGTCGCCACGGCGCTTGTGCCAGGCTATGTGCACTACTACACCATGCCACCACACACCATAGACCACGAATAAATAGCCGGTGCGGTGTGTAAACATAAGCGTTGGGGAGACAAAGGCGGCCAGGCGTGGCGCCGGCCACCCACCCACCGGCTCGTGAGCCGTGTCAGCCTTCACAGGTGCTCCTCGCCAACAGCACTTGCCCCATCGGTCTGTTGAGGCTATACGGGACTCCTTTGTGTGCCAGTGTATGCTTGTGTGTGTGTGTGTGTGCTCGTGTGTGTGTGTGTGCTCGTGTGTGTGTGTGTGCTCGTGTGTGTGTGTGCTCGTGTTTGTGTGTGTATGTGTGTGTGCTCGTGTGTGTGTGCTTGTGTGTGTGTGTGTGTGCTCGTGTGTGTGTGTGTGCTCGTGTGTGTGTGTCCTTGTGTGTGTGTGTGTGCTCGTGTGTGTGTGTGTGTGCTCGTGTGTGTGTGTGTGCTCGTGTGTGTGTGTGTCCTTGTGTGTGTGTATGCTCGTGTGTGTGTGTGTGCGCACGCACGCACACGTGAGGAGCATTGGCACACGCGCACTGTGCTACGATACCCTGCAACCTGAGTTCGAGTGTGGTCCACGACCAACGTTGGTTCTGGGCTTCCCCTAGGTTGACTCAGTGTGAAATCCATGCCCCCCTGCCCCACCCCTACAGGAAGAGTGCCACAACTTCATCAAGGTGCTTCTCCCACGTGACGACGGCACCATCTTCGTGTGTGGCACCAACGCCTTCAACCCCATGTGCCGCATCTACCGGGTAAGTCTGTGGCTCTCTGTGTGAGTCTGTGGCCCTCTTTGTGTGAGTCTGTGGCTCTCTCTGTGTGAGTCTGTGGCTCTCTGTGTGAGTCTGTGGCTCTCTCTGTGTGAGTCTGTGGCTCTCTCTGTGTGAGTCTGTGGCTCTCTATGTGTGAGTCTGTGGCCCTCTCTGTGTGAGTCTGTGGCTCTCTATGTGAGTCTGTGGCTCTATCTGTGTGAGTCGGTGGCTCTCTGTGTGAGTCTGTGGCTCTCTCTGTGTGTCTGTGGCTCTCTCTGTGTGAGTCTGTGGCTCTCTCTGTGTGAGTCTGTGGCTCTCTGTGTGAGTCTGTGGCTCTCTGTGTGAGTCTGTGGCTCTCTCTGTGTGAGTCTGTGGCTCTCTCTATTTGAGTCTGTGGCTCTCTCTGTGTGAGTCTGTGGCTCTCTCTGTGTGAGTCTGTGGCTCTCTCTGTGTGAGTATGTGGCTCTCTCTGTGTGAGTCTGTGGCTCTCTCTGTGTGAGTCTGTGGCTCTCTCTGTGTGAGTCTGTGGCCCTCTCTGTGTGAGTCTGTGGCTGTCTCTGTGTGAGTCTGTGGCTCTCTCTATTTGAGTCTGTGGCTCTCTATGTAAGTCTGTGGCTGATGTAAGTCCATGTAAGTATGCGGCTCATGTAAGTAGATCTAATTATGTGGCACATGTAGGTCTATGTAAGTCCTTGGCTAATGTAAGCGCACGCAAGTCTGCGGGCACGTACGCGCGTGCTTACGTAGGTACGTAGGTACGCGTGTGTGTGTGTGTGCGCGCCTGTGGCTCAATGTAAATCACGCCCAGGCTGTCGGGTCGCGCGTTGGCTCAGCGCCTCGTTCTGTGGAGGGTTCATCGGAGCCGCCCCGAGCTCGCAGCTCTTCGAGCTGCGGCCCCCCCCCCCCCCCCTCCGGTCGTTAACCTGTCGACTCGCGGAAGTGCCAAATTTGACACCGCACAGGCGGTGATTGACAGGCGCAGAGTGCATTGACGCTGACCGACGAGGCTCACATACACTCACACACACACTCAAACACACTCACACACACACTCACACACACACTCACAGACACTCACACACACTCACATACACTCACATACACTCACACACACTCACAGACACTCACACACACTCACAGACACTCACACATACTCACACACACTCACACACACTCACAGACACTCAAACACACTCACACACACACTCACACACACTCGCACACACTCACATACACTCACACATACTCACACACACTCACACACACTCACAGACACTCACACATACTCACAGACACTCACACACACTCACAGACACTCACACATACTCACACACACTCACACACACTCACAGACACTCACACATACTCACAGACACTCACACATACTCACACACACTCACAGACGCTCACACATGCTCACATATGCTCACACACGCTCATATACGCTCACACACGCTCACACACACTCACACACACTCACAGACACTCACACACACTCACACACGCTCACACGCTCACATACGCTCACATACACTCACACGCTCACATACACTCACACACGCTCACAGACACTCACACACGCTCACACACACAACAACAACAACCGCCAGTCGCCACTAAGTGGCGGTGACGTCACCACGACGCTTGTGCCAGGCCATGTGCACCTTGAGGCCACGTGAAGTGTCGATCGCCCGCTGGCAGGAGGTCACGGGGCAGACCCAGGTGCCACGGGTCGACTGACTGAGATGACTGGCTGATGCGCCACCTGTGCCCCCTACTGTGACAACCTGCTGTGCTTTAGTCATCCGGCGCTCCGCTCGTTGTTGTGAGCGTCGCTCCTCCGCCCTCCGTTGTTGTTGGAGGGCGACTGCCTCCAACTGCCCAGTAGCAGCGTCCTTCACGAGCCTCCTCCACAGAGGCCGATCTTGACACCGCTGGTACCAGTCATCGGCAAATCCACTCAGCTCCACGTCCTCCTGTACCACATCACTCCATCTCTTCTCTAGCCCGTGCCGCGCCCGTTTAGCCCCCTCAATCCGGCCGAACAAAAGCTGTTTCGGCATGCGGTGGCTGGGCATGCGGGCTACATGACCCAGCCAACGCAGCCTTGCCTGCCGGAGGAGCTCACCGATGGGACCTTGCCCAGATCTTTCAAGGATTTGTGAGCTCCTCACACAATCCAGTCTGGTTAAACCCTGGATGGATCGTAGGCAGGCTAGCCTAAATGTTTCTAACCGGCGAAGATGTTCCAGTAGGGGGGTCCACGTTTCGCAAGCCTAGAGAAGGGAGGGAATGACCGTGGCCGAGAAGACCTGAAGCTTAGTGCGGAGCGACAGACCAGGTAGCTTCCACACAGCGTTACGCAACCGATGAAAAGATATTGCCGCTCGACTGATTCGGAGTGAGATCTCTGCTGTTAAACTGGAGCCGGTCATAAGCACACTGCCCAGGAATGGGAAACTCTCCACTCTCTCTACAACTGCTCCATCACCGATTGGGAGTTGTGGGGGTGGAGTGTCCGATGGTACAAATACCCAGGCAGGTGCTTAGTTTTGGTGGGGATGATGGTAAGGCCCCATCTATTAGTGGCACGCTCCAGTCTCAGCAGCAGCGTCTCCAACTCCTCCTCTGAATGAGCAGCTATTACCAAATCATCGGCATATATAACGTGGTTGAGAAATACACACACTCACACACGCTCACATACACTCACATGCTCACATACGCTCACACGCTCACACACGTTCACACACACTCACACACGCTCACACACACACACTCACACGGTCACAGACACTCACACACGCTCACACACACTCACACGCTCACACACACTCACACGTTCACACACGTTCACACACACTCACACACGCTCACACACACACTCACACGGTCACAGACACTCACACACGCTCACACACACTCACACACACTCACACGTTCACACACGCTCACACACACTCACACTCTCACACACACTCAAACGCTCACACACACTCACACGCTCACACACACTCACACTCTCACACGCTCATACACGCTTACAAACGCTCACACACACTCAGACGCTCACACACACTCACTCACGCTCACACACACTCACACACACTCACATACACTTATATACACTCACACACGCTCACACACTCACACTCTCACACACTCAAACGCTCACGCACACGCTCACACACACTCAAACGCTCACATACACTCACATGCACTCACACACACACTCAGACGCTCACACACGCTCACATACACTCACACACACTCACATACACTCACACACACTCACACACGCTCACACACACTCACACACGCTCACATACACTCACACACTCGCGCGCACGGACGCGCTCGCTCGCTCACACATGCACGCGCACAGAATCTGAATATTTCGTTCTACTGGAGGAATCTGATGAGCTATGAAGCTCTTTTATTTCGCAGATGTCCGGTTTAGGGGCACGGGGTCAGAACGTTCCAACAACAACAACAACCAATACAAAGAAACGCAGCGGGAGTATAGGAAAGGTGAAAAAAAAACCACTTAAAAGAAAATGCTTTTAAAAAAACTGAGCTACGTTTGTTTCATTCCAGACAAAGCCCACGGATCTGTTCGCTTCTTTGTTCCTATGCGACTTGGCCACAAATGATAGCTCAACAAAGTGGCGAATCACGTGCGGATTTAGCGCAGCGACGTAAATCTAAATAATCTAAAACATTGGCCAGCTGCGGCCCGACAGCCTGGGACGTGATTTTTAAACAAACGACGGTTCTGGTCAAACGTCGTCAATGGGAGCGACGTATATGGAGAATTCGCCTTTGTCTCCCCGAGTGGCGATGTTTACTACACACTGCACCAGGTACTCATTTGAGGCTGAGTCGACCTGGGGGGGGGGGGGCAGGACTGTTTTAGATAATCGTCACTGGTGTTGGCCGTGAACGGGAATCGTACTCGGGTCGCCGGGGTAAGTAGCGCAGCGCGCTAACCGCTACACTACCGCTCCCCACAACACGCACAGACACACACACAGACACACACACAGACACACACACACGCACACACACACGCACAGACACAGACACACACACACAGACACACACACAGACACACACACACAGACACACACACACAGACACACGCACAGACACACACACACACACAGACACACACAGACACACACACAGACACACACACAGACACACACACACAGACACACACACACAGACACACACACAGGCGCTGCCGCCACCTCCCCGTCTTGCGGGAAGTATTTTTACCGAGCGTCGCTCGCGTTTCACTCTCACCTCTCTCTCCGCTCGCGTGCGGCGAAGTGCCACGCGAGCCCCCCTTGCCCCACGGACAGCTCCCCCCCCCTTGCCCCACGGACAGCTCCCCCCTTGCCCCACGGACAGCTCCCCCCTTGCCCCACGGACAGCTCCCCCCCCCCTTGCCCCACGGACAGCTCCCCCCCCTTGCCCCACGGACAGCTCCCCCCAGACATGGCAGCAGCTAGCGCCACCTCGTCCTCGCCCTCCTGCGAGGCGCCCCGGACGGACGCGAGTCCTCGGGCCTGGCGTCATTATCGTCGTGAGAAACGTTCGTCACGTTGCCCTGCGGTCGGATCTCACCCTGGGCATCGGACTCGGCTTCTCGCCTGTGCTGCCTCAGTGCCTCTGACGTGGCCGTTGTGAACGCGCTGAGAAAATACAAATAAACACCCAGAGCCAGGGCGGTAACGCAGTGCGTGTCGCCACGGTTACGCGTTGCTTTGTCGCCGTGGTAACGCGTTGCTTTGTCGCCGTGGTAACGCGTTGCTTTGTCGCCATGGTAACGTGTTGTTTTGCCGCCGTGGTAACCCGTTGCTTTGTCGCCGTGGTAACGCGTTGCTTTGTCGCCGTGGTATTCGTGTTGCTTTGTCGCCATGGTAACGCGTTGCTTTGTCGCCATGGTAACGCGGTGCGTGTCGCCGCGGTAACGCGTTGCTTTGTCGCCGCGGTAACGCGTTGCTTTGTCGCCGTGGTAACGTGTTGCTTTGTCGCCGTGGTAACGTGTTGCTTTGTCGCCGTGGTAACGCGTTGCTTTGTCGCCGTGGTAACGCGTTGCTTTGTCGCCGTGGTAACGCGTTGCTTTGTCGCCGTGGTAACGCGTTGCTTTGTCGCCGTGGTAACGCGGTGCTTTGTCGCCGTGGTAACGCGTTGCGGCGTCTCCCCCAGTTGCACGGCGAGCGGCAGGACGCGGCGGACGGAGCGGGCGTGGCGCGCATGGAGGGCGACGAGATCAACGGCATGGCCAAGTGTCCCTACGACTCCAAGCACAGCAACGTGGCGCTCTTCTCTGGTGAACCTCCTCCTCCTCCTCCTCACAGTCCCTCTCGCTCCGCGTCGCCTCGTCACTACGAGCCACGCGTCGTCGTCGTCGTCGTCGTCGCAACGTCGTGCTCTTCACTCGCACCCCCACCCCCACGCTATGGTCCACACGGGACGGGTCCACTCCCCCGTGGTCATTGTCACTCCCGTCGTCATCGTCGTCGTCGTCATCATCGTCGTCGTCGTCGTCATCATCGTCGTCATCATCGTCGTCATCATCGTCGTCGTTGTCGTCGTCGTCATCATCGTCGTCATCATCCTCATCGTCATCATCGTCGTCATCATCGTCGTCGTCGTCATCATCGTCGTCATCATCGTCGTCATCATCGTCGTCGTTGTCGTCGTCGTCATCATCGTCGTCATCATCCTCATCGTCATCATCGTCGTCATCATCGTCGTCATCATCATCGTCATCATCTTTGTCGTCATCTTCATCAGAGCCACATGGCTGTCTGCTCCAGCGAGGCCTCATCCACTGCCCACTCCCAGCCACAGAGGACACCTTCCTCCTCCTCCTCCAGGCTTTCACGCCAACCGCGCCGCACTCACGCTCTCAGCCGTGTGGTCACAGCGTGCCGTGCGTGTCGCCGGGGTAACGCCGCGGTGCGTGTCGCCGGGGTAACGACGCGGTGCGTGTCGCCAGGGTAACGCCGTGGTGCGTGTCGCCGGGGTAACGACGCGGTGCGTGTCGCCGGGGTAACGCCGCGGTGCGTGTCGCCAGGGTAACGACGCGGTGCGTGTCGCCAGGGTAACGACGCGGTGCGTGTCGCCGGGGTAACGCGTTACCGCTCCACAACGCGTTACCGCACGCCCGCTCGCCACGCGTCAACGCTCGTCCACGATGACAGCTGTGCCCCCCCCCCCCACACTCCGCGTGCCCCCCCCCTCTCCCCGCTCCCCCCAAACCAACCCGCCCCCCACAGGAGGCAAGCTCTACTCCGCGACGGTGACGGATTTCCTCGCGAGCGACGCTGTCATTTACCGGAGCTTGGGGAGCAGCCCCGCTCTGCGCACCATCAAATACGACTCCAAATGGCTCAAAGGTAACAACCATTGCGTCATCCCCCCCCCTCCCCCGCTCCACCGCCCCCCCCCCGCTCCACCCCGCTCCACCGCCCCCCCCCCCCCGCTCCACCGGGACCGTGGCAGCTTGTAACAGCGTCCATCACGCGACGGGGATTTGGAACGTCGGCCCCGCGGGCTCCTCCACCTCGCCCCGCGGAGGCGACGGGCCCAGCGCCCGCAGGTGAGCCTGCCAAAGATCCGTCTGCACAAGGTGCTTTGGCCTACTCTTCTACGCTGGCCAAAGCGCATAAGGGGGATGGGGGGGGGGGGTAGTAACCCACTTTTCCCCCCTCCCCTATCGCAGTGCTATGTATGTACGGTGGCTAGGAGATGTTAACTACTTCGCCAGGTATACAGGAGGTCGTGACGCCTTGTTGCGTGTCTATATACTATTATATTATTATATACAGTACTACTATATCATACTATATTACTCTGCAAGTGTAGTATATATCCAATGCAAGTGTATATATAATGTATATAATTATACATACATGTTTAATAAAGTACAGTACTGCCCAGTAAATGATCCCCTAATCATCGGTAGCAACCCAGGTCAGATAGAGCACTACATTATTATGAACACTGTATTATTATGAACACTACGTTATTAACACTATTATTATGAACACTATATTATTATTAACACTATATTATTAACACTATTGTATTATTACCACTATATTATTAACACTATAGTATTATTAACACTATATTATTATTAACACTATAGTATTATTAACACTATATTATTATTAACAGTATTATTAACACTATAGTATTATTAACACTATAGTATTATTAACATTATTATTAATAGTATTATTAACACTATAGTATTATTAACAGTATTATTAACAGTATTATTAACACTATAGTATTATTAACACTATTATTAACACTATATTATTATTAAAACTATAGTATTATTAACACTATTATTATTAACAGTATTATTAACACTATATTATTATTAACACTATATTATTAACACTATATTATTAACACTATATTATTATTAACACTATAGTATTATTAACACTATATTATTAACACTATAGTATTATTAACACTATAGTATTATTAACAGTATTATTAACACTATAGTATTATTAACAATATAGTATTATTAACACTATAGCATTATTAACACTATAGTATTATTAACACTATATTATTATTAACACTATATTATTATTAACACTATATTATTATTAACACTATAGTATTATTAACACTATAGTATTATTAACACTATTATTAACACTATTATTAACACTATAGTATTATTAACACTATATTATTATTAACACTATAGTATTATTAACACTATATTATTATTAACACTATATTATTATTATTAACACTATAGTATTATTAACACTATTATTAACACTATAGTATTATTAACACTATTATTAACACTATATTATTATTAACACTATATTATTATTAACACTATATTATTATTATTAACACTATAGTATTATTAACACTATAGTATTATTAACACTATTATTAACACTATATTATTATTAACACTATATTATTATTATTAACACTATAGTATTATTAACACTATAGTATTATTAACACTATTATTAACACTATAGTATTATTAACACTATTATTAACACTATATTATTATTAACACTATATTATTATTAACACTATAGTGTTAATAGTAATAATGGGCGGCGAGAGTCCACAGCGCCCTCTAATCCCCGTCGGCGTGACGGCAGCCACTTGGTTTGACCCCTGGCTTCCTGGCCACGCCCCGTGCCCGTGACGTCAGTCCGAGTCACCCCTAGCCATAGTACACAAAGAGCGAGCCCCCTGCGTTGCACGACGGGAACCTCACACAAACCCTTCCCCTCTGTCGTGTCCGCGCGTCGGCCGGGGCCGTGCCGGGCCAGCGGCGAGTTGAAGGCGGCGGGGGAGCGTGGAAGTGCAGTGCAACAGTGAATGTTGCTGAACTCGACACCAGCGGTGAGCGCGGAACGTGGGGAGTGAGTGGCGGTTGGGGTGGGGGGGGAGGGTCAATGGTGGGGGGGGGGGGAGGAGGTGGGCGAGCAGGAGGGATGGGGGGGAGTAACGGTGGGGTGGAGGGGGAAGTAACGAGGGGAAAGTAACGAGGAGGTGAGTAACGAGGGGGGAGTAACGAGGAGGTGAGTAACGAGGTGAGTAACGAGGCAGCCTCGCCGGCTCGTGCGCTCGAGGAACGGCGAACAGGCCACCAGCGCCGCCACCACTGCCCCCCCCCCCCATCGCTCCATTGTTGTCGTTGTTGCATTGTGTCCAGCCACCCCCTCTCGGGGGAGGGTTGAGACTCCCCCCCACTGCCCACCCACTGCCCCCCCCCCCACCACTACCCCCCCTACCCCCCCCCCCACCACTGCCCCCCTCCCACCTCCCCCCCCGCCACAATTGTTCAATATTCTGCACCAACGCCTTCTTGATTTTGATTGTAATGAATTATACAGAGGGGGAGGGGGCGAGCTTTCAGCTGGGGGTGGGGTGAAGGTGGTACAAACAAGGGACAAAGATCCCCCGTGTAGCCTTAGTAGACTGTTGGGGGCAAGTGCTGTTTCGTCGCGAGAAGCACCGATGAAGACCGTCACGGGAGGAGGGCACAGCGGCCGATGGTACGGGGTTGGTGTGCGTCTGTCTGTGTGTGTCAGTGTGTGTGTGTGTGTCTGTGTGTGTGTCTGTTTGTGGGTGTGTGTGTCTGTCTGTGTGTGTCTGTGTGCGTCTGTGTGTGTGTGTCTGTTTGTGGGTGTGTGTCTGTCTGTGTGTGTCTGTTTGTGGGTGTGTGTGTCTGTCTGTGGGTGTCTGTGTGTGTGTGTCTGTCTGTGTGTGTGTCTGTCTGTCTGTGTGTGTGTGTCTGTTTGTGGGTGTGTGTCTGTCTGTGTGTGTGTCTGTGTGTGTGTCTGTCTGTGTGTGTATGTGTCTGCCTGTCTGTGTCTGTGTGCGTCTGTGTGTGTGTCTGTTTGTGGGTGTGTGTCTGTCTGTGTGTGTCTGTGTGCGTCTGTGTGTGTGTCTGTCTGTGTGTGTCTGTCTGTCTGTGTGTGTGTCTGTCTGTCTGTCTGTGTGTGTGTCTGTTTGTGGGTGTGTGTGTCTGTCTGTGGGTGTGTGTCTGTGTGCGTCTGTGTGTGTGTCTGTCTGTGTGTGTGTCTGTCTGTGTGTGTGTCTGTCTGTGTGTGTGTGTGTCTGTTTGTGGGTGTGTGTGTCTGTCTGTGTGTGTGTGTGTCTGTGTGTGTGTCTGTCTTTGTGTATGTGTCTGTCTGTCTGTGTCTGTCGGTGTGTGTGTCTGTCTGTGTGTGTGTGTGTGTCTGTGTGTGTCTGTCTGTGTGTGTGTGTCTGTGTGTGTGTCTGTGTGTGTGTCTGTCTGTGTGTGTGTGTCTGTCTGTGTGTGTGTGTCTATCTGTGTGTGTGTCTGTGTGTGTGTCTGTCTACGTGGCCGGGAGTCAGAGCCATTCCCTGTACACCTTGGGGTGCGATATGGATGTCCTCTGACTCCCACATTATTAACATCTATTTTGACCACGTAGTTCGTGAAGCCTTCGATAGCTGTACCGGGGGACTCTCCATTTGGTACAGATATAATGGGAGGCTGATCGATGCCCGGGTGCAGTCAAGGGATGGCTCCCTATTGCTCAACCACGTTATATATGCTGATGATTTGGTAATAGCTGATCATTCAGAGGAGGAGTTGGAGACGCTGCTGTTGAGACTGGGGCGTGCCACTAAGAGATGGGGCCTTACCATCAGCCCCACCAAAACTAAGCACCTGCCTGGGTATTTTGTACCATCGGACACTCCACCCCCCACAACTCCCAATCGGTGATGGGGCAGTTGTGGAGAGAGTGGAGAGTTTCCCATACCTGGGCAGTGTGCTTATGACCGGCTTCAGTTTAACAGCAGAGGTCTCACTCCGAATCAGTCCAGCGGCAATATCTTTTCATCGGTTGCGTAATGCTGTGTGGAAGCTACCTGGTCTGTCGCTCCGCACGAAGCTATCTGGGCAAGGTCCCATCAGTGAGCTCCTCCGGCAGGCAAGGCTGCGTTGGCTGGGTCATGTAGCCGGCATGCCCAGCCACCACATGCCGAAACAGCTTTTGTTCGGCCGGATCGAGGGGGCTAAACGGGCGCGGCACGGGCTAGAGAAGAGATGGAGTGATGTGGTACAGGAGGACGTGGAGCTGAGTGGACTTGCCGATGACTGGTACCAGCGGTGTCAAGATCGGCCTCTGTGGAGGAGGCTCGTGAAGGACGCTACTGGGCAGTTGGAGGCAGTCGCCCTCCAACAACAACGGAGGGCGGAGGAGCGACGCTCACAACAACGAGCGGAGCGCCGGGTGGCTAAAGCACAGCAGGTTGGCACAGTAGGGGGCACAGGTGGTGCACCAGCCAGTCATCTCAGTCAGTCGACCCGTGGCACCTGGGTCTGCCCCGTGACCTCCTGCCCGCGGGCGTTCGACACTTCACGTGGCCTAAAGGTGCACATGGCCTGGCACAAGCGTCGTGGTGACGTCACCGCCACTTAGTGGCGAATGGCGGTTGTTGTTGTGTCTGTGTGTGTCTGTCTGTGTGTGTGTGTCTGTCTGTGTGTGTGTCTGTCTGTGTGTGTCTGTCTCTGTGTGTGTATGTGCTGTGGGGAGCGGTAGTGTAGTGGTTAGTGCGCTGCGCTACGAACCCGGCGACCCAAGTTAGATTCACGCTCACGGCGAACCACCAGTGGCGATTATTTGAACCGGTCCTGGGCCTCCCCTAGGTCGACTCAGCCTTCATTGAAATGCTGTGCGTGATTAGCATCGGCGGGGGTGGATGTTCCTAGGTCGTGTACTTAATGCGTATGTATGTACTGTATGTTGAACTTCTTTCGCATCGTACGTAGCCAACAGCGCTAATCGGAGGTGCGGGGAAGGACAACAAACTAAACAGGCACAAAAAACAGCTCTAAATGTGAACGTGCAGA